ATCTATGACCACATGTACCCGCCTGCAGTGTGAGACTATGCAAACAACGTTTTTTCAGAAGTCTTTAATATTTCATCAAAAACCAAATAAAACTTTGCTCACAAACATCTTGAAAAAAAAACATAAAAACTTCGTCAATATCCCTGTGAAAAACTAAGCACCACGCATGCCGGTATGGTACAAGAACGGCATAGGGAGTTTCCCCTTTAATCCTCGTCTTCTTCACTACCGTGAACACTTGGACGTCTGCTAGTGGCCGCTGATGGGACCTAGAATAGGAAAATTTTTAGGGATACTCACTGACCATGCAAAATTTTCATTGAAATGTTACATTTGTTGGTTCTGTTATGAACTCAAAATTGGTCTAAGATATCTAGCGTTCGTAAGAAATATGGTGAAATATAGAAGTAAAAAAATTCATCAATTTTTTCAGTATTTCAAGAGCTCGAATTTCTGATTAAGACTAACTTTCCCCTCGTTTCGAAGAATTATATTGTCCACATCCGGATGCAATTTCTCGAGAGCCATACGACGGCATTCTCTTAAAAATATATCTAGACTTTCATTACCGTATTAAGGAAGAAAAATCATGAAGCGCATTAACATACCTGTAAAAGACACCTAAGCTATTCCAGTCGAGTAATTCGCTAAGCCTCTCAGTCCTGTTGCGCTGGATGATCCGTTGCCGGCGTGACATCCCACAGAAATCGTACCTTCAATACTTCGATCAGAAATGACCATATGCACTTTTCTTCATATTGCTGCAAAGGGAAAAAAAAACGAAAAAAAAAATGAACTCAATTGGTATGAAAAGGTTCGATACGAAAAGAATTGGAAGTCTAATGTCGCTATTAAAGAAAATTAGGGAGTATAGAACAACATTTGGAACTTATGCTACCAGTATTTCAAATTTCATACCTGTGGTTGCATTGTCAATTGTTTACCACCTTTTTTTTTGCAAGTAGGTGCTCTTAAGTGTCAAACTGTGATTCATGGAAAATCATCCGTCCCAGAGTCCACGTTGAGAACGCGTTCGATTTTCTTACAGTAAAGACCAAATACGAGTTAAGATGTGTAACTGAGGAGCCAAGAAATTTACTTGTGGCTCGCACTTATCGATAAAAGTGCTAAAACGAAAGGACCGACTAGAAAACAGATGTCCTACAGAGATTAATGGAAACTGTACTGCTGGAAACTCAATCTAGTTCACGATTAACGGGATTACACGTAATGTACAGAATATTTTCAATCAGATTTCTAGAAAAGAAAATTGATTTTGAGCAGAGGCTCTCTGGCTGGTTATGCTTTCTCACTGCTTCATTGCTGAAAATGAAATTTTCAACTTTTCACTTTCTGGCAACATTCTTTTAAGCACGAGCGAACGGAAATGCACTGAATTTCATAAGAAACGAAACTACCGAAACCCGCCGGCAGAGGGTAGTAGCGTACTTCAAGTGCGCGCTGTAGCACCGCTTTCATTCTTTCATTCATAGAGAGAAATTTCAAGAAATTTCTGATAATTTATTTCTACAAGAATACTGGCAACAACTTACGTCCTATATAAGTAAAAAATAGACAACAATAGCAAAGCAGTGATAAGAAGCACAGCCAGAGTATCACTTAAGGAAGTGTGTCATATTCTCATACCTATCAACGTAGTAGTTACTGTACTAGTTACAAAAAATGTTGCACTTATAATTAATGCAACTGCATTTTGTCTCCTGATTTTAAAGTGTCCTTGTATGGTTATTGTATTGTTACTAATTTTACAATATAAACCAAGAATGTAAGCAAAAACACGTTACATAATCTGAGCCAGTTGCCGAATGGACTCCTCAGGGCTTTTGTATCGTCTATCGACCACATAAATACCATATGAAGATGGATCTTCAACATGTTCCTGAGAAATTATGGCTACTACATAAGGAAACAATACTGAAAAAGAAGAAGACCAAAAATCAGCGATATAGGATGGAATTAAGTGGTAATCTTTTGAAAATGAATTTGACATCGACAAATGGTTCGACTCTTTAGGTAAAGCAACGAAAAAAAGTACTATTTCAACAAAGTAACCATTACGACCGCCACATACAGTCCATAACGGTTTTACGTCGTTATTCACGCAAATTTTTGCATGTGGATATAGGATACGTGTAGCGCTTTGGAAATGCTCTTCAATAGCAAGCGTAGGGCCGTAGTTCGACCTGGCTCCAAGCCAAACGAGCTTCCCAGTCCTTCGAAGTGAGCAGATTGGTAGCATATTTATTTCTGACGCTCATTCCGACAAAGAAAAGTTTGGTGACTCTCCATTATGAGGACGTGAGAGCACCCTAGCACTGCGCCCCGTGGATTTCAGGGAGACTCAACTCGACAAACATTCAACGACATTCATAAAGAAGGCCAAATCAGTAAGCAGCCGAACCAACACGTAAATCCGAAGTTCTTTTTAGAAGGTAGATGTGAAGCGAAGAATCGAATGAAACAAGGGCCGAGATCCCCACAATCCTTGAGTTCGTGTCATCAAAGAAAAAATGAAAACTTTTGCAATGCTCATGGAGTTGAAGAGAATCAATATTGCAGATCTTTTTAAGGCGCTAGTGTTAAGACAGCAAGAAAATACTTTTCGGATTAAATAAAAAATAGTAAGACAGTAGAGAAATTCGATAATAAATAAACGAAGAAATCAAAGGTAATTTGGAGGCAGCTGTTGTACATTGTAAGTAGACCACAACGAGTGCTACGGTGGAAAGATTATCAGTTGGTTCAGCATGATTTTTTGTTCTAGATAATAGCAACTTTCGCTGACGACAACTGAAGTGAAAAAGAAATCTGTGGACAAAAGGTTTTCCAAATAAATACCTGCATGAAGCATCCAAATCCGCTGAGATTAGTAGAGACAGACGGTATTCCCATGACTGTACACTCAGCTGGCGTATACCTGAAATGTAAAGTTTTAACCAAAATCCTATCATTGATGTTAATAATTCAAAGCTCAACCCCCATGGCTCATAGTATGAAGGAAAAACTCCAAGGTGACATCCACGCACAAAATCCTCGTAGTCAAGACCGATTAGAGGTGACACAGACGACAGAAACTCTGTAGAAAAAAAGTTTTTCTCAGATAGTATCCTCCATTAACTGTGAGATTCCACCAGGTTACATTCTGTCATTCGCAGAAACTTTCGGTCGCAGAAAAGGTACTATCGCAAGATAAAGTTATATTAACCTGGATGAAATACCACTTTTACGCGATGATCTCGATAATTCAGAAGGTTAGTCCGTCGTAATGCACATAGAACCTGAGATTTAAAGTAACGAAAAGCTACGAAGGTAAATTCACATCAATGATGTGTCTAGAGTACCTCATCGTCTCCTCGAATCATATTGTGAGTACAAATAGGTGGCAAATCGCGCTTTTCAGAAGCCATAATACACCTTTTCAGCTGAAATTAAACAGTAGCCAAGAAAAGAAAACTGGACAAGTTATAGCCTGGTCACTTCGGAACTATATCATAGACATGCCACAAACCAGTATTTTATCCGCTGGTGACAACAAATCGTGACCATCAGGCAGATGACCTTGTAGACAAAAATCATACATACGTTGACCGACACTTTCCTAAGATTAAACCAGTATTTGTACAAGCATAGACGACAATTAATTGCTAAACACTGGTAGAGAATAAATACCTTTATTCGATCTACAGCTTCCTTCAGTTGCTTTGTTACAGCTTGACCTTTGAGAGATTCAACATTGAACGAGTTAGCTGGAGCTAAATTCATCAAAAATTTTAATGATGACCTTCACGATAAATCTGAAAGAAGAATTCAGAAAAAAAAGCACCTGGATAAATTATAAAAACAACTACAGTAACACCAAAAAGTCGTGTATCAGAAGTCGTTTGAAGATAATGATTAAGACGAGCCAATGATTCGATAAACATATCTCCTCCTTTGTTACAAAATTCATACCTGTAGTAATGTACCGGTTTTATATCTAAAAGCGCTCTTTTGCGTTCACACCCAATTTTACATTTACACTCACATGCACTAAACTTGGTGAAAGACGCGGGAAAATGACAAACATATACAATGGAAAAAATATGACAATGAATATAATACGAAGTTCATTTTAAAAAAAAGAGTCTGAACGAGAAGAAAAGTCTAACCTTCCAGCAGTAAAGAAATAAAGAGTCTTGTCCAAATCGAAATCCAAATGACCATGAAAATGACCTCGCACAAAATTATGTATTTTTTCCTTCGCTAACGAGTGTAAATTCTGAGATTGGTCGAAAGCTTTTACTGGCAAAGTATAGAACAGAGAGAAAAGAAAATCTGAATACACCTGAAATTCGTGTAGAGCGGCAAATTTCACTACATTAAGTCCATTAGGTGTTAGAATATCAGGCTGCCTGCCTAGTAGGTGCTGAGCTTCTAAACCGGTGATTTCGGACACGGTTGTGAAAATGTGAGCTGAATGACAAGCGGCTCGTTCCAGACAGTACTGATGATATATCTAAACGGAACCAGGAACAGTCAGCCTCACTTTAATTCAGATTTATTCCTAAAGTCCATATTTTACGTGCTATTTTGTTAAAGCGAACATGTAGCTCCATGGTTAGAGGTGCTCAGAAATACAGATTCGATCCTCTGCTACACTCAAATCAAGTACTGGAGTCCTTCAGGGCAAGTAACTGATACCATACTTGTCTGAGAGAATAAGAGCACTCATTTACGGCAGGCCACCTTAAGTCTATCGTAGAGACCAACTGTATATCTAATCACCTCTACGACAATACTAATGGAGTCGAACGCGTGGCGCGTGCCTATGGAATTAATCACAATAGAATGCTTTTCCCCTTTATTTCGTTAAAGGCAGTTGTAAAAAAGACCTACTCGTCGTTTTCCAGCTTCTTCGTCGAGATTGAATGAACCAAGGTTGTTATAGAAATCACATCCGCCAGCGCAGAGATGTCTCCCCAACAGGGTTGCATGCGTTGTGTACACCGTCGCGACGTCCAGCTTCCAAAGTCTTGTCATCAGAAGTCCAACACCTACAAAACAGATTTGTAGCTTTCATACCAGAGGCATACGCTGTGAAATAAACTAGTAAAAAAACAAATGTAAAGCAAAAAAGCAAAAGTTAAAGAGATAACTTGTGCAATGGACATAATGTGAGTTTCCTTCAACTTCTTTCTCGCATAAGAATAGAAGATCATTACCGATGTTTTGTTGAATTCATTAATCCATTTTGAAGTATTTGGTATTACTAACACCTAATTAGGAAGTTCTTTCATAAGAAAAGGGTTGAGTTAGGTAGCAAGTTGACCATGGTTTATCTCATTCAAGATGCAGCATATTTGGCGTGAAGATAGTAAACATAAAATTTGGTACTACTAATTTAAGATATAGTTGAATCGATGAACTCGCACAAAGCTTGTCTAAGAGATTAGCAATAGATTTTAATTTCACACAAAAAAAGAGAAATATTCTCGTAGAAGACCTCGGATTTAGAAGCAAAAGAGAAAGTAATGTAACCACCAATCAATTCCTGCTCTTTTCAATGAAGCTTCACCAAAAAGAAAAGCTGAAGATGTTGTATACAAGGACGATAATGAAGGTTCTCCACAAGTAAGTAATAATTATTCAACAACTAAAGCGTTTAAGTATTAATTTAATGGGCTGACAGAACAGAGCTTTCTCTATCGTTCTGCCTTATAGACACCCTTTTTAAAGTGCTACTTTAATTCCCGCGACGATGCCTAATTTCGCTTTTATATCAAAGAGGACGACGCCCAATATATGTCGTATTATTAGTATTATTTTATTACCAACATTTATCAAAACAAATTATCATCATATTTCGAAACCGACTTTCTCTAAACCTCGGTGTGACTAATCAATATGTATTCTTTCTTGATAAGCTTGCACGAGGTTGATAAATATATTTATTTTCGGCTAACGTTTCGACGTCTTGGTCTTCCTCAGAGCCAATGATTCGAGTCGATAGTCCATGATTGTTGTTCGTAACGACGTTGCAGCTTCGCCTTCGTGTCGAGCCAGGTCTTCCTCAGTGAGCCATCTTCTCGAATCAGAAGATGAAGAGATGGCTCTACAGTACAAACAAATTCGAGAAGATGGCTCACTGAGGAAGAT